CTTAATATTCTAGGATTCGTAAAGTAGTGATAGTTGATAGTGATTGCTTCTATCTCTGTGAAGAACAAACCACATATCTACAGCCAAGCAGCATCGCTGTACTATAAATTAAAAGGTAAGAAGAGCCAGTGCAATCATAAGCAAACGAGGTTTACTGAGATCTCGTATCCAACTACAGAACAATCAATGTAAAAGTGCATAGTTTGCGTGACACGTTTGCTAACATTATGCGAAGTTCCACATACTTAAGCTCAGACGTCATTATCGCTTTGTACATCATGATCGTGTAAATTATCTCGTGCGAAACCTCGAAAATTGCAGAATCGTGATAGTCGCACCTGTAATATTATCCATGGTGGTGTTTAATATCATCGTTAAGTCTCATTATATTTTATATTATTTTATGAAATGTTTAATTTTCTTTTTATTTTATAATTAAAGTTACTACTTTTTATCAGAGAGAGGGTCAGATTATTTGACTGTTTTTAAGTCGTCTTGGGGTCTGCCAATGAGCTATGGAGCGCAGCATCTTAGAAGTCACATTATCAGACCGAATTAGAAACTATGAACTGCGCTCCAAAACCCAAATAGCAGATGTAGGCTAACAAGCTGTTTTACTGACATGGGACTGGGCGGGCCACGTCTAGCGCATATCGGACGAGTCGTGGGCGAAAGCCACCACAGAATGGATCCCTACAGAGAGAAGACAACCATGCAGCAGACCAAAGCGTCAATGGAGAGACGAGCTAGATGCGCACTTGAAACATTGGACCTCAGTGACGCAGAACAGAGAGATGTGGAGAGAGGGGAGGGAGGCCTATGCCCAGCAGTGAGACAGTATAGACTTATAAAAAAAGTCGTCTTGATGATACCAACGCTTGTGTTCCCTACGAAGACGGAGTTCATTAACTGTCTGTAACAACTCATATCCGCCCCACTAATGAACAGGTAGGAATAGCACTACTTGTGTTATACTATGCTTTATCCTCCTAAGTCCCAGTAAACAACAATGGGAAAAACGCCCAATGTACTAAATATAATTACATACTTCAGGCCTAAACATGTATGCCCTCAGTTTTCTATGAAAAACATATTTTTCTGTATACCTTAAGAAATATAATATAGCACCAAATTTGAATGCGATATTTTCATTATAATGTACACTGGGCGTTTGCATTGTATGGCAGTGAGACATGGACAATGACTCAGAGAGACAGAGAACGATTGGAGGCATTTGAGATGTGGTGCTGTAGAAGAATGAAGGGAATCAGTTGGACAGAAAGAATGAGGAGGTGTTAAGAATAGTGAATGAAAGGACAAGCTTATTAAAGACAATGGAGAAACGAAGGGGGAAAATGTTTGGACATCTGATACGTCAAGACAGTTTTCTTAGAAACATAATAGAAGGGAAGATCGAAGGAAAGAGAGGCAGAGGAAGACTGAGACGAAGTTATTTAGATCAGATAAAGGAAAACGTTAATGTCGTGTCGTATTAGGAAATCAAGGCTAAAGCGTTAAACAGAGACGATTGGCGATTACTCCACCGACAAGAGCTCTTAAATAAGAAGAAGAAAGGGCGTTTGTGATCATACGTGACCATAAGAACAATATTGTCTGGGTCTGAATCATTTTACGTATTATGTATATTTTGATGTGCAGAGGGCCTTAGGAGGTTATGGGAGCGCCAAAGACTGGCTTATCAGCATTATTATGAATCAGCCCGTTAAGATCAAGCGTTTCCATCCACACTGTACACATTGACACGTCTGTCTACTACGGGTATGCTTTTTTGCAGTATCATCAGCAGTGATCGAGTAATTGAGGTAGTTCATCTAAAGTAAGAACTTTTTCTAAGTATGGACAATACCCATTTCGTCATCAATGCGTGTAAAAGTTTTTTTTTACTGTTTATTTTCTAGACAGACCAAAATACAGGTTATCTATTGTTTATTTTTTAAATTGCTAAAGTATTTAAATACGTAAGTACTTATAAAAACACAACTATAACAATATGTAACAAACCTACTTTATGTAATAGACGACCTTAAGCCAGATTGTTCACTTTTAGTTCTCTAAGAATCCGCTAGATGGCATTGACCCATTTGGCGTTATTTGTGAATCGCGGTGTTAAGATTTTCCCTCGAATAGTGACTACTCGAACACAATTTTGTTAATGGAAAGAGTAATCTGAGAATACAGAGAGCAAAAAGGAACCAGGAGTTGAGTCCCTTCTTGGGAACTGCTGCTACCCGGATCGTCTGATATTTCGTACGATCATATAGGGTGAAAAACCTCGTGTCGCGAAACGGTTTCCAGGAGTGAGTCCCTTCTTGGGAACAACTGCCCGGCCGTACCTTCCGCATATAGGGTGATATTGTGTTGGCGACATACAAGGTGAAAATAAAAATCTTCTGAACCACTTGGAGTTTCACTTGGCTTGTTTTGGTACCCTCATCCAACAGACGAAAGAACCTCCCTCCTTTACAAATATTATTTTTGAGCAATAATTTGTAGCAAATAGTATCTCTTAGTAGCAATATAGCTCCTTGTCAAAGAGTTCGTCCAGAGTAGTACTGCCACCTTACCTATTTCTGTCGCATTACTGTGTTCCAGTTTTGAAGGGTAAAGGTGCTGGTGAAATTACAGGCAGATGGGACTTGTCAACTTATGTCTCAGGGTGTCGAGCGCAGTGGCAGTGCCCGTCAAATCTTTGCTATTTAAAGCACTGTAACTGTTGGACATTAGTGTAGGTTACCATCACGCGCACAACTTGATCGTCTCGTCACTTGATGTTATAAAAAAAACTTAATAGAAATTACAATTTGTCGCCAATGCACTTAAATTTCAATCATATCATTTCCGAAAAGTCCAGTGATTTGTTGAAAGGAATGTCCTAGTTATTCTTTCCTTTAGCTCAATTATCTCCGTCAATACCGATCACAGATCATTAGATATTCCATATTGTTCATTTCAACGGGAAGAAACCGTAAACATGCTTATTTAGCTTTCATTCAAAAGGTGTTTGAGCGTATCTTTTATGTATGACTGACATACATACCGGATTACAGTTTTGTGTGTATTTTTATACAACAAGTTTACTTTTATAACAGTGAATAAAACGCTATACGTCTGCATTGTATCATTCATTTCGTACATCAAACGGGGCGATTACTGTTCTTTAATTCAATGTTGGTGCGTGCGCGCACAATGGATTGGTTTTCTTATAATTTATAAATAACTTGACCTAATTAATTGTGAAACCGTAGTAGCCTAGTGGTTTGGCCTACCGCCTCTCAAGCAGAGCGTTGTAGATTCGAATCCAGGCTTGCTTTTCGGTGAAAGAAAACAAAGTGAGGAAACTTGCGTGCATGTACAAAGCAATTTAATGATGTGTGTGAAATTTGTGAGCTACAGCTTATGTCCTGTCATTGTGAGAGGGTTACCTAACATTAGTCCGAAATGACATTTTCCAGAAGTAACGTTTGGTCGAAATTTCATAAGCTCGAAAGTAATTTTGAGAGGAAAATGTTTTTTTTCTTTTAAGCCTAACTTAACCTAACCTAATCGAACCTAATTGTGTCTTTGCGATAAACATTCCACATATCCTGAAAGAACATTTGTTTCGTTACAATTCGGTTTTCGGTCTAATGAAAATTCTAACAAACGTTATTTTGCACAAAAAAATTTTCGACTTTGTGATAGGTTACCGAGGCCCGTGCCCAGCTATAGGACTATATACAGTCTACTATTAGTTACATATTAGATTATTGCGTAACTATTATTATTATATTGGTGGTTATTTTGGTGAAATTACAAGCACATGGGACTTGTCAACTATGCCTCCGGTTGCCGGACTCAGCGGCAGTGGCCCTCAGATCTTTGTGATTTAAAGCTCTGAGTAGCACTACTGCTGTTATGGACAGGCGTGTCGCTTAACACCAGGTGAACGACTTGTCTGCATGGATCTTTTCTTGGATTTTGTTTTACTTTGGATGCTAGGTTAGATTTGTTAGGATTCACATTTGTTGGTCTGACAAAAGTTTGATTAGTTTATTGCCTATCTGAAACACTTTAGTTGAAAAGAGGAAGCGAAAATGAGTTCAGAACTGTAATAACGACACACATCTCTAGTGGGTTAACGTTCAGAGGATGTTGCAAATAGGAAAACCAATCTCAACTAAAAGTTTCATACAACCAACACTGAGTTTAGTCGTCTTCGACTAGATGTGAAACAGCTTTATACGCAAAAATAAACTGACCTGATTTAAAAAGTTTTCCAGCACATCCTAAAGTTGTCAAACACAGTCCAAAAACCATTAATTTCAAGGTAGCATAGACTGAAACTTTTCGGCACATTTGCATGTTATAATATGTAATATATATAACGAAAATAATCGGAAATCCTAACATGAACGATGATCATGATAATGGACAATAAGGACATAAACGACGAAACAAATGTATGACGGAAAAATCTGTAAATGTTTTAAAACGTGAGTATAAAGCAATATTATAGTCATATTACCTGACGTGCAATTCAATAAAGAAAAATAAAATACAGATTGTTAATCGGCGACAGAGAAACAACATTACACACAAATTGATAAATACGTAATCTTAGCAAAAACGACAATTAAAATATAGAATATTATAATGAATAACATAAGAATCTGCTGAGGTTGCTTTTGGAATTTCGATTTGAACGTCAGAGACGGTTGAAACACTGCCCTATTTATAGAAACAAAGCCTATTTTTAATTCCCACATTACTTGTAGCTGTTAATAATGCACAGGAAGTCAAAATTCTTTATAATAAAGAAGAATTTGGCAAATTGGCAAAGATCGCTCGTTGTACAGCGCTTAAAGTTTCCTAATTGTACCTACCAGCACTTGTATGGCTACTGCTCAGCTTGATCCAGGATTTAGCCATCATTTGATTATACGAGTATTTTAATTAGACGCAGAACAGAATTTAATTATAATTTTTTTTCTTGCCCTCAGAGTCACAATGGATCCGGTACAACAGCGGCCAAGACAAACATGTAAAAGGAGACAAGTGAATAAAAACAAAATCAAATGGAAGTTCTTGAAACTAATCATAAACATTTTAGACTAAAACTCAAATAAAATTGAGAATGAATAACTTAAATTAATTTTTTTCGGAAAAATCAAATTACAATTTTAAGTGATTAAAATATTTAGTATATCAAATTGAAAATTGAATTAAGTGATAATTTGAAAAGAAGTGATAAGCAATTGATGTGAGTTGATGATGATGATAATGGATGAATAGTGTTGCTGTGATGGGGTGTGGTCAGAGCAAAATAAATCTCTACCCGAGGAGAAACAAAAATGGAGGAAAAGGAAACAGTGCCAAAAAATCAGGTAAGCATCGGTTTCAGAGTTTTAATGACGATGTTATTTTTTAAATAGTATGCTTTGGATTCCGACTTCTATTGCGACAGCAATTGTTACCGGGTGCGGAATAGAAAATAATTCAAAAACAATCTATATAAAAAACGTCAGTCCTTAAAAAAATTACGTAAAAACTGTGGATTTCCAAAGCAGACAGATCGATATTAACATTATGTGCACTTGCCAATCGAGTTAGGTGACACGTTTAATATCACCGGTAACCCAATTTTATTCGAGTTGTTATGCATTTGGTCAAAAAAGTGACCGAATGAAGATGCGGCAGTAAGAATTATACACGGATAGGTAACATTTTTATTACTTTACCATTCCCCGATTCTCCGTTTCGGATATTATATCGCATCCTGGCTTTCAATGGATTACGAATAGGGATTGAGACATATGGCGAATGGCACAAGCACCTTTTTCAACAACAGAAGTATAACGAGTGTATTGACGGCTTTGTTCCTCGGTCCATTGTTGTGCTTTGTTTCTCTAGCATTGTTATGATCTTTGTATAAGGCTATAGTGGCGGAAGCAACTAATAGGCAACTTTTCTTTTGGTTTGTAATGATGACCCTGTCGTTGAATATATCATGCGTTTTTACGAAAATTGCTCTGTAATTCACGCACTCACGCGACTAAGTGATGACGCAGTTAAATGAAGTATTTTTATTAAATAGTGAAAAACATAACATTCATATGAGGAATGAAAATAAACAGGCTGTTCTTGACAGTCGCCTTCATACAGTCACAAATTAATTTAAGAGGCAATGTATCTCCTCCTCTCCTCCAATGTATCCTCTTTAATAAAATTTCAATCAAAATAATAAAATCTGCTATTTACGAGGCTTAAAACTAATTTAACTCTACGCCGACTTCATTTTTTGGTCATGTCTGTTTTTATTTTGTTTTTGTTTCTTTATATTTTTTTCACAAAAGTAGTTTTTTTTGTTTTTTTTTCAAACTTTGTCTTTTTGTTTGATTTTTTTTCACAAAATTCGGGGTATAACATTAGTAAATTAAATAAGGCTGTAAAAACAGAAATTTACCAACAAAATAAGTTGGCGTAGAGTTCATTGGAGGTATCACTGTAGTGAAACAAAAACTTCACACTGTTTTTATACTACACTATAATTTTTATTACTTTACACTATTATTATATTTTTATACTACAGAGAACGTGCTAAATTTTAGTTTTCATCTGAAGCCCTATAATTATTAAATTCACATATATCCCAAAATTTGCAAATTGCCCACCGTTTTAACGACACGCCGCACCGCCCGTTGCCCCGTCAGTCGCCAATGGATGTCGGATCTGTGTCAAATTTTCTCCGCCTGTTCTTATTTTATTCATGTTAATTTACAGCGTGCGTATTTCGGGAAGCGGGGGGCGATTCCCCCACGCCTCGTCTCCTAAAATCTATGCTCACTTTAAAATACCTCGCCTTAAATTCCTCGTGTCATGGTGTTTACACTAACTTTCCATAGCCATCAATACGGACCGCAGCATTACCGTTTTGCGACAGGAATGGATAAGAAAACCCTATCACCAGTCAAAAAAAGGTCTGATGAAATATTGTATTACTTTAGGGGTAAGTTATATATAATAATATATAAGTTATATCGTTTACAACCCATTGAAGGGTGGATATTGAAACTGGATACTTTACTTCTATAGCTAAAAATACTTCCTTTTTTTTAAATAATATGGTAATTTTCAGGTTAATATTCCCCATCTAATTTTAGTGACAATTTTATATTACAATATTATCATGAAGTATTATTTAATATTCAAGTGTACTTCTTGAAATATCAGTGAATTGCAATTTTTACGTTCTTTGAATGTCACGATGTTTGCCCACCATGATATTTAAATATTTTTGTGAAACTACTCCACTAGTTTGTTATAATTATAAATAAAAAGATCAAATACTTGTAAAAAATTTCTTCGATCCGGTTGTATTCGAACTAGTCGGCTGTTGGTAGCTGTAAAGTTGTCCTGTAAACCAGTCTGAGTGAAGTTAAAAATTAAAATCAAAGATCTGCAACAAGCACATAGAGGATTTCGTAAGGTCCGCTAATTCGTTCCGTGACTAAGTTGGATTCAGCCGGATTCGAAATTATTGTAATTATTTGATCTTTGTCTTAATAATTATATTATTTTATATGTCACTTTAATATTGTTGAATATTTAAATAATAAATATTGCCACCAAAATTAGGTAGAGAAAAGTAATCTGAGAATTATATAGTATAGTGTTATTGGAACACTATACCACATGGAAAAAATGAAGAGATGGGAGAGAAAACACGAAAGTTAAGAGTTTAAAAAGTGTTCCCACTTTGACAAATTTTGTTTATAAGTTCGTGGAAGATCAATAGCGCCCAACAACCTTAGGTATCTTAAATCAAAATAGTATCAAATGTTCACAATTTGTGACAACACAGGTTGTTTAGATGTTGACATGTAACAAAGTAAGTAAAGTTTCACATTATGCAGCCAAACATTGGCATACAAACATATTGAAGGTATATTATACATTTAAGTACCCGCATGCTAAACTTTTTGAATAGACTAAACTAGGTGACTTTTTTAAATAATACCAGTCAGTAATTTCAACGCGGTGATTTAATTGAATCAATTTTAATGACAATAATTGAAAAATGTAAAAATAATGAAAGTGAAGAAGAAGTGAAATTGTGAAAATAATGAAAAATAGAGAGAAAAAACAGTACGTGATAATGGTATTTCAATGACTTCAAAATAAATATACAATTTAAAAAAAATTGACAATGAAACAGTGTTGCCAGGGCCCTTGAGTCGAAAATTATATTTCGTTACTTGAAAAGTTACATTTTTGCTGCAATACGCCAATAAGGTCTTTGAATACGCTTAAATCCTAAAAATAAAAAATAAGTATAGGAAATGAAACTATTTTTCCGGATTTAAATCGCGTATATTCGTTTTTTCAAAAAATCCGACGTTTCGGTCCCTTTATAGGTCCCATGGTCACGGTTGACTGAGGTGGTACAGTTATCAACAAGTTATGTCTAATATTAATGCAAACCATCCTATTTTTTCACTATAGAAACAAAAGTTATTAATTAAATACCTTATTTTTTTATTTAAAAAGAAACATTCCAATTTACGCTATATTACGTTTTACAAATTATTTTATTGAATGAATTTTTATTTGTTTGCGCCATCTCTGAGTTACTTTTTTAGCTAATTTGGGTGCGTTTGTAAACTATTTAAGATTTATAATGACAAATATAGTTAAAATTTTTTAGTTTTTATTGAATGTCACGATGTTTGACCATCATGATATTCAATATTTTTTGCGAAATTACTCCACTAGCTTGTTAAAATATTAACACAAATATAAAGATAATAAAAAGTATTAAAAGATAAGATAATAAGATATTTAAAAAATATTAAAAAAAAATACCTTCGATCTGCCTGGATAATATGCTTAGTTGAATTTAAAAAATTTCAATGTCGACGTCAAAAGTTCCGATAATAACCTTAAAATCAAAATATTTCTTACATGTTACGCGAGAAGATAAAAAATTACAAAAAATGTAAGAAATGTAACCATCTGGTAACACTGCAATGAAGTTAGAGGTTTGTCATTTAAAAATTCGAACATTGTAGTACATTTTATTTGTCAATAAGTTGTTTAATTGCTTTCTAAATAGCATAAGGTTTTTTTCAAACCTTATTATCACGTATAGCTAATAATACAGCAATTACGAGTACTTACCTATAGTCGGTAAAGTAATGACAACCAATCGTCCGTTTTAAATACAAACTTCTGAGATGTAAACCACTTACACTGTACGATAAATGTAAAAAAGCTCCTGGAGTTCCATATTATGTCTCCCCTATCAGACATCTGTGCCGCCAAATATTCATGAGGCCACCTGTCCTCGCTACGAATACAATGTTATGAAAGTCAAACATTTCTTCTTTACGTATGACTATGTACGACGTAAATAAATAACATAGGATACTGTAGAAGTTAAAAAAGGCGGCGAAAAAATTTTAAGATGTATAGAAATAATGGCAAAAGCTTAAGTATCAGTCAATTAAAAGCTAGAAAGGTTTTTTTATGACATCTAGTGGCGGGATGAAGAAGACATGTCCTGATGGTAAGTAACTTGCCTATCCCTAGCAGTTGCAGTGCCACTCAGAGCTTTAAATCACAAAGATCTGAGGGCGCTGACGCTGCGCCCGCCATGCCGAGACATTAGCTGAAAAGTCCCATGTGTATGTAATTTCACCAGGACCCTTACCTTTCAAAACCCTTTATTTATTTATTTGGTATCCCTACAGAACATATACAATATTCATATAATATGAAATTTGGTATCTATCCTAATGCATACTATATCCCAGTAACAGGGAAACGCAGCATTCTCAATCATGACATCAGACTAACAAGTAAGGAACAGAAACAAACAAAAAAAGCAAAGTACTATCCTCTCAACATAGCACGTGAGTTGCCATGTACAAAATAAAAATTATAAATAAATGTGAATATGGAAAAAAAACACAGGAAAAATTTTTCTTTTGAAAAAAAAAAAAACATCACTGAAATTCAGTAATTTTTCGTTTGAATCGGTTATATGTGTCATTAAAAATATGAATTTCAATAAAATCACTGCATTGTACTCTAATTGCATTGTACCGCTTGGCGACAGAAATAGGTAAGGTGGCAGTACTTCCCAGGACGAACTCTTTCACAAGGAACTCTACTTAAAATTAGTGATGGTTTTGAACGCACTGACTCAAATTGAAATATTCGTAATTCTTAATTAATTCTTATTGGTAGTGGATATGTGTTAAGAGAAATGTGTTATAAAAGACTTTATAAAAGAAAACATAAGAATAGTCAACCGTGACCATGGGACCTGTAAAGGGCCCGAAACGTCGGTTTGTTTGAAAAAACAAATATACGCGATTTAAAT